TGCATTATGATAAGCTAAGTTTATTAGTGATAAAATTTAAGTAAATAAGAACGGAACTTTTTTTACAGGTTTATTATCATTATTATTTTATTATTTATCATGGCTGTGGGCCCTGGACAACTGTCTCTTTTGCCCATTGGATAAAACAGTCCCTGGGTAAAGCTATAAATGAAACACTAACTCAAAATTTCTAGTGAAACCGAAAAAAAGTATTTAACCTGAAACGTTCTAATATCAGATCATCATTAATATTTCGACATACTTTTTCCTCACATCACTTAAAATGTAATATATAGGGGTTTACATTTTGAGTCTAAAACATTGAGATAGGCAGATTATCTGGTAAATTTTGAAATATGTTTACAGCAGCTTAAGACATTTTGTATTTGGCAAAGTAGTAATGAGTCATTTAAATGTACCAGAACACAATTGACAGGATTCGCTTCGACATCTTTTCGTAAATACACTTTAAAGACGTTTTTCTATTGGACCAAATAGTAATAGGCCCTTTAAATGTATCAGAACACAATTGACAGGATTAGCTTCGATGTCCTTTCGTAAATACAATTTTAAAACATTTTGTTTGAAGTTAACCACAAAGCTACATAATGGGCTGTCTGTGCTCTGCCCACCATGGGAATCGAAACCCGGTTTCTGGCGTTGCAAGCATGCAGACATACCGCTGTTCCACTGGGGGGCAAGATATTTTGTATTTGACCAAATAGTATTGAGTCATTTAAATGTATTAGAACACAACTGACAGGAGTCGCTTCGATATCTTTTCGTAAGTACACTTTTAAGACATTTTGTATTTGACCAAATAGTAATGAGTCATTTAAATGTATTAGAACACAATTGACAGGAGTCGCTTCGATATCTTTTCGTAAATACATTGAAACCAGAATACCACTTAACATAAGTCGATAAGAACTAGAAGTACTTAAATCAGCTAAAAATGGTTAAAGATATCAAGAAACCAGGCAAGGGAAATATACTATTGAATAAAACATATTATATTAATAAAGTTAAAAATATTTAAAAAAATGAAATTAGAGAAAGGGTATTTGTAGGTTGTACTCACACATTCATTAAAATGTTTGGAATCTCTATGTTTTCCAAATAGCCTGCATTAGATCCTTTCTAATTATGGAAGAATATAGCATTAGTAAATTTGCGTTTGGCTTCAGGATATGTAACACACAAACACTCGCGTCCTAACGAGTAGCAACAAGAAATCCCAATAAGTGGCGTAAACGTACTTTATACAGTCATGTCTGTTGGTCAGCAACCTGCAAGTACTAAAAACATGATCGTGAATAGCCAAACAATACACATATCAGCTTTCCCTTGCTTCCACCTTAACAGATCCAGTGATGCTAACTAACATCAACCTCTTCTGCCTCAAAATCGTATTTTACAAGTTTCAAGTCTACTCTGTGCTCAGAGAAACGTGAGCTTTGCTTTGTTGCGATTTAGAAGATCTGTATTATTTGATGACTGTAAACTATAACTGTTTAGATGACCCCCTCTTCGTTAACTGCTATACTTTTGACATTAGTGTTAGAGTTATGGCGTTCTGAAATGTGAATAATTATTTAATTAGACAAATTCAGGATATTAACTTACCTACATTATGAGTTAAAAAACGAGTATATAATGAATTCGCTTCATTGTAGAATAAGTTAACGGATGCAAAACTATGGACCAAAATACACGCTTTAATAAGTTCACAGTAATTAAAAATGGATGTAAATATGGATGAGAAACACAGTTGTATATCAAGTGGTTGAAATCTAAGATAATACTTTAGTAGATGATAAAAAGGTAACTTTGAAATGGTGTACAAACTTACAAGATTAGTTTTAAAACGCCTTGACTCAACTAAACATTAGATAGACAAATACGCTATTCAGAGCAACTCTAGCACAGCAATTCTTCACTGGAAACATTATCTCAAAGAAAGAACAGTGACAGTGAAAGAACCAATAGCGTAACCAGCCAGAACCAGGACATCCTGCTCTTTGCTGTTTCCTTCTTCCTTGCATTACATTACAGGAGAAACTAATTCCAGTGCTTAACCCCCCACCCCCCCCACACACACAACTGAACAGATAACACGCAAGATAGCTTACGATTGGTCAGTCGTACGAGCCTTTTTTCCAAAAATTGCATACCAAATGCGATTTCTATATTATG